GGGACCACTGCCATCAGAGTGACAACAGAGGGACAGCAGTGATGTCACAGGGACATCAGTGACATCAGTGCGGCCTGGTGACATCACAGGGACATCGGTCACATCACAGGGAAATGGTGGCACATTTGGGGACAGTGGTGAAATCGCAGCGACAGCAGTGACAATCCCGGGGAGCAGTGACATCACAGGAGAATGTTGACAACAAAGGGAGAACTGTGATGTCACTGGGACATCGGTAAATTCGCAAGGAGAGGGTTGACATCATAGAGAAACCAGTGACATCATCAGGGACACTGGTGACATCACAGGGACAGTGATGTCACAGGGGACTGTTGACAACAAAGGGACAGCCCTGATGTCACAGGGACATTGGTGACATCACAGGGGACTTCAGTGACTTCACAAAGACAAGGGTGACATAACAGTGAAACCAGTGACATCATCAGGGCCATTGCTGACATCACAGGGGACAGTGGTGACATCACAGGGAGACGGGTGACATCACTGGGGACCACTGACATGACAGGGGACTGGTGACAACAAAGGGACAGCCGTGATGTCACAGGGACATCACTGACATCAGTGACATGACAGGGACATGATGCCATGGGTCGACACAGTGGTGACATCACAGAGACAGCAGTGACATCATTGGGGACATTCTTGTTATCACAGGGGACAGTGATGACACCACAGAGACACCAGAGACATTACTGGTATCACTGGTGACATCACAGGGGATAGTGGTGACATCAGAGGGACATCGGTGACATCATTGGGGACCAGTGACATAACAGGGAACAGATGACATCATTGGGGACACAGGGACCACCTCTGGGGACAGCAGTGACATCACAGGACACAGTGGAGACACCTGTGGGGACAGCAGTGACACCACTGGAGACTGCTGACATCATAGGGACATTGGTGACATCAAAGGGACAGTGGTGATGTCATAGGGACAGCAGTGACATCATTGGGGACATTGGTGACATCAGAGGGGACAGAAGCAGTGACATCACGGGAGACCATTGACATCACAGGGGTCTGCTGACATCACAGCGACATCAGTGACATTTTGGGGACACAGGGACCACCCTTGGGGACAGCAGTGACATCACAGGGACATTAGTGATACCAAAGGACACTGGTGCCACCTCTGGGGACACCAGTGACATCACAGAGGACCAGTGACATCATTGGGGATGGCACTGACATCACAGGGAAAGCAGTGACATGAAAGGGTCAGTGATGAGGTCACAGGGACAGCAGCGACATCATTGGGGACATTGGTGACATCTCATGGGACAGCAGTGACATCACTGGAGATCAGTGACATCACTGTTGACAGCGGTGACATCATGGAGACAGCAGTGATATCATTGGGGATGGCGGTGAGATCAGAGGGACAGTGGTGACATCATTAGGGACACTGGGGACAGGTAGAAGCCGAGCCCCAGCGCCAGGAAGACGAAACCCAACATGAAGCCCCCGACCCCCACCAGGATCTTGATGTAGACAGTGTCCTGTGGCATCTCTGGGGGGAAGCCGTGGGAGTCAGGACACCCAAAACCTCTCAGAGACCACCCAGGACCCCACAAACTCCATTCTGGTCTCTACCAGCCCATCCAGAACCCCCTGAAACCTCCTGCCAGTCCCTTCTCTATTAGTTCGTTTGAATCCATGGCCAGAAAAAAGACAAGTACAGTAATTCAAACACTACAAAAAAATCTTTTATTGCAGTGAAAATAAAATTTAAAAAAAACTACTGGCAAAGAGAATCAAAAGTTGAAAAATACAAACCCACTACTTTATCAATAGTTTCCATGCATACAATGCTACAAACAGCTTTTATTACAGCATTAGCTAGTAAAAAGGGAATTAAAGGGATTAAAAAAAGGATATAAAATGTTTTCTTCCTTGGTTGCTTCTTATCAATAAACTGTGCTCACCTGCACAGACAGGCCAGGCCTACCAGGCTCTGCAGGGGCTGGTCGGTGCCCGTGCTTGGCAGGTGTCCCCGCGGAGCAGCACAGTGTGGATGGAAGGATGAGCATCGCTCCCCCCAGCAGTGCTGACACCCCATTCCATCAGCTCTAC